TCTAGTATATAATAACCCCTCAATAAAAGTTTTTTCATGACTGACTGACTGAAGAGATGAATGACTAAATGATTAAGAGCTGGGGGTAGTCAAAGACGAAGGAGATCAATGAAGGTTAGGGTTGTTGTCTTGAGGATGCTTTTGAAAGAGGTGGGATCAGACAGAGACTTTTCCTAGGCCTTGGAAACGTAGAGAAGAGACCTGGGCACACAGGGCCAGGTGATCGGTAGGAGGGAAGGTATCGATGGGAAGATCCAAAGCCACTGGGAGCTGGTGAGGGATGAGTCTGCTAGAAAGGAACTTGCACAGGAGGGAGTGGTGGGGGTGAGACTAAAACTACACAGAAAAGGTTGGTGGCTCTGTGGAAGGAAAACTATGTTTAATACAGAGGAATTGTCCCAGTTAATTTTCTAAATAATTCCTTCACTTATGTATATAGGGAAGTATTTTTTTGTTAAATGACGCTAGAACACCTCGTTATTCCACCTGTCAATTCTATTGATGTTCATACAGACATAACATAATATTTTTTCTAAAAATAATGTGCACTCTTTATTTTAATTTATTAGTCTTGGGTTTAAGTATTACAAAATTCCACTTACAGAGAAAGTCATAATTAATATATGGCCTATTTCATTTTACTTTCAGAAAAGAACTATGAAAGCCATTTCATAATTGGGAAATGTAACCATTTCTTATGGGACTTGTATTTCCTGTCATAAAGCTTGGCCAACCTAAATGCTCACAGTCAGAGTGTTCCTACAAAGTAAGAAAACACACACACAAATAAAACTCTCAATCATTTTTAACATTGCAAGTATGTTAATAACACTTGCTTAGGTCATTTTCTCATGCCAAAGTCATTTTAAGCTGCCTTGGTTAGGAAATAGGTCGACTGACAGTTTTGAACCAAATGTGCATAGGAGAGCTGCATTTTTAATTTGCATGCTTCCTGGGCAACCTTGGACCCGTTACTTTAGCTCAATTTCCTCAACTGTGAAATGGATTCAATAAGCAGTGTCTTTGCAAAAATGCAAACTGTAGCTGAAATAACCCTTATGCTAATGATGGCCTGTTCTGACAGGAGATTTCCTGTCCTCTCACTTCTATCAACTCTAAGAAATGCTATTTTAGAAAAAGCCATCAGGTTTATTTAGGCTGAGACTTTTTGTTCAGAATAGCATCTCTCCCACAACACATTAAGATTCAGCAACAGTGAGAAATCTCAACATGGAAAACTAAGAGTAACCACAGACCTGTGATGCAGGACATCGAAGTCAGAACCTGAGGCCCAGCTCCCCCCGAGGAAAGGTGGAAGGCGTGTGGTAACACCTCTAGCTGTTCTCTGAACTCCAGGCCCAGGGTGCATGCCGCAGGGGAAAGCCAGCCACCTGTCTTCGCCCCCATGAAACTACTTTGAGAGGCAAATGACTATTTGCCAGGGTCTCAGAACAAGGCAGATACTGCAAATCCCAGAAACCAAGGAGCCAAAAGCAGGAGGGAATAAGCAGTGACAGAGTGCAGCGGGTGAGGTGGAGCCCAGGGGTGATCAGTTCTTGCTGAGCTGCACAGGCCAGAGGAGGGGCAGAGCAGGGCACGCGGGAGGGTCTGGGACAGGTGAGGTCATGACCGCAGGGCCAAAACACAGGAGGCTGATGTCCGTGCAAGAGTAAAGGAGGCCATTGGCCCCAGGAATCCGCAAGAAGATCCGTGAGGAGAGAATCTCCTGAGAAGAAACATCAAGGTGAGAAGGTGAGCTGGAAATGGCCTCTTCTAACCTGCCACCGTTAATTGCCCCAACGGCAGCTGCATTTGCACCAACACACAGCTCTCACGTGTCTCCTGGTGCCCGTGTTTTGTCTCGAATAATACAAACTGCTTAACAGAACCAGGATACATTGATTCCATGTCTTCGATCAGGAAAATACAAAACCAAACCAGAGTTGGTCTGGAATGTCCTTCTGTTATCTGGAATCAACGATGGCTTCAAAAATGTCAAGGGCAGTGCTGACGGACAAAAGAGCGACTATAAAGGGGCTTTCACTGCTTAAGCTGGAAGTACCGTCTTCCTAATAGTGATAACAATCATAATAGTTCATTGAAACAAGTGGAGACTGGGAAAAGCCATGAATTAGTAATTACATTCAAAGGAGAAAAGAGAATAGAAAATGTACAAAATGTAGTTGTCATAAAAAGAAGGGTATATAATAGTTTATGTTTTATTATTTATGATTTTAATAAATAAAGGGGTGTTAATAAATGGGATTCCTGTAAAGCTCCATGTCCTTTGAAATTTTAATAAATTCTACAAAGGATGTAAACAATCTGCAAATTGTGACCAAAAAATACCCAGAGAGTAGTGCATTCAGTGTCAGGAATGTTAGCTTTCGATGTATCCACCATGATTTTGGATAGTTTTGATGTCATTCAGCACAGCATAGTTTTTATTACCTGGAATATAAAAGGAAGAAATTAAAAGTAAATCATTAATAATTTAATTTAAATGATGAGTAAATTCTATCTCCCCTCTATTTTGCAAATTGTTTATATGTTCTATAGATACAAATGTATTAAATTTAAAAACTGAAAATTTATTTTATGTAGACCATGAATATATGTGTTTTGTTTCTCATTTTAATTATGTATCTGTTTATACGTACAAAAATGTATTTATTTCTATCTCTGTGGGAAGGAAGGAAAGAGCACAGAGCACCCTGAGTAATTCAATAGCCCAGGAAGAAGCAGGTATCACACTAAGGCGAGGAAGGGCTGCCTGCGCCCCAGGGCCGTGCACAGTGGGCAGGAGGGAGGGGTCCTGTGTGCTCCGAAATGGCACATGAGCCAGATGCCTAGAGGAAAGAACTATGCAGACAAAAGCATCTCCTAGGAGATAAGATCTCCAAACGGCCTTTCTAATTATAACAAAATGTTTGTAAGTACATTTTTTTAAATATCTTTTTCTTTTTTAAATGATTGCAGATTCACAGGAAGTTGCAGAAATATCCTATGCACCCTTCATCTAGTTTTCTCCAATTGTTTCATTTTACATAGTTATAGTTAATATCAAATAAGATTTTGGCATTGGTACAACCTGCCTGCATAGTTTTATGTCATTTAATCAGGTGCATAGATGCATGTAATCACCTCCATAATCAACATGTGCATAGAGCTCTTTTGTCCCCCAAAGATTTCCCTTGTGCTATTGCTTTATAGTCACAGCCCTCAACCCCAGCCGTGCACCACCACCATCCCTGGGAAACACTATTCTGTTTTTAATCGCTATGATTTTGTTACTATGAGAATATTATATAATTGGAATCACACAGTCTGTGGCATTTTGATGTTAGCTTATTTCCCCCTTCATTTAGCACAATGCCCTTGACATCCACCCAAGTTGTTGCATGTATCGATAGTTTATTCCTTTTTATGGCTGAGTAGTAGTCCATGGTGTGGGTCCCACAGTTTGCTTAACCGTTCACCTACCAAGGGACATTTTGATTGTTTCTAATTTGGGACTATTATAAGTAAAGATGTTAGGACAATTGTATGCAGGCTTTTGTATGGATATAAGATTTCGTTTCTCTGAAGTAAAGCCCAGCAAGGTAATTGCTGAGAGTATGGTAGTGTATGTTTAATTTTTTTCAGGGAAAGCCAAACTATTTTCCAGATGGCCTACTATTTTACACCCTCACTAGTAATTTATAAGATGTATAAGAGATCTCCTTGTTGTTGTTGTTGTTGTTTTGCATCATTGCAAGCATTTGGTGTAGTCATTAATTTCTTATTTTATCTGTTCTAATAGGTGTATAGTGATATCTCATTGTGGTCTTAATGCATGCTTCCCTGTTGCAAAACATCTTTTCATGTGCTTATTGCCATCTACGTATTCTTTTCGGTGAAATCGCTCTTCATATCATTTGACCATTTCATTTTTGCTTTTTAATGTTGATTTTTGATAAGCTTGTTTTGTTTTTAACTATACATATATATCTATGCACATTTATTATAGGACATGTATTCTATATATAGGTAAATGTGGATATATATGAATATATGAACTATATGTACTAGATATTAGTGCTCTTTAAGATATGTGATTTGCAAGTATTTTCTCCCATTCTGTAGCTTGAATTTTCATCCTGTTAATAGGATTTTTTACAGAGCAAGAGTTTTGAATTTTGATGAAATTCAGTTTTTCAGTTTTTTCTTTTATGGATTATGCTTTTTGTATAATGTCTAAGAATTCTGATCTTTTGAAGGTGGTCAGAAGGTACAGACTTCCAGTTATAAGGTAAATAGGTAGCAGGGATGTAATGTACAACAGGATGACTATAGCTAATAAATTCTATGAGTTCTCATCACAAAGAGAATATATTTCTCTTTTTCTTTTCTTTTTAGTCTATGTGTGAAGATGGATGTTAGCTGAACCTACTGTAAATCAAACTATCATGCTGTGCACCTTAAACTTGTACAGTGATGTGTGTCAATTATTTTTCAGTAAAACTGGGGAAAAAAAATCAGTTTTTCCAATACAAAGTCACTCTGTTTCAGGGCTATTTGATTAGCCTTAGTTTAAATCCAGAAGCCTGTATGGTTTCTTTTCGTCAGGACCCCACTTTAATGGGGAAAAAACAATCTATTATAGACACCAGAAAATTAGATTATTTTTTTTAGGGCTAACCACTGAACAAATAGTGTAGATCAATAACTACAATAAAACATTTATTTTGCAAGGTAATAATAACGAGCTGCTAAAAAAAGATGTAGTGAAAATTAGCTGGATTTAATCTATTGGTTTGTCCACGGTCAATGGATTTGTGCTTTGCCATAAATACCAGCATTTCATGGTGTTACAAGTAGGTAGTTTTAAAGGAAATTAGTGAGAAATATTTAGGGGGGGGAAGTGGATATTGAGTTCACAACTGAATATGAATTTTTAATTTGACAAATCAGATCAGGATGTAGGAAATCTTATTTCCCTTTTCTCCTTTGTGTTATAGATTAATCTTAGAGATATTGGTGAAATCTATAAAATACGTATTGGACACGACAACAGTGGAAAGGATCCCAGGTGGTATCTGGAAGAGATTCGGCTTGAAAACATAGACACATGTGAGCTGTTTTGTCTAACTGTTGATTCCTGGATAGCTGAGAATGAAACTGATGGAGATAGATGGAAAGAACTGCCCATTGTGAGAACTAATAAAGCATCTTTGCCAGGTATTTAATTTCGCTTCCTTTATGATTTACATTAAAGATGAAAATAATTGGGATGATACAGAACAGAGAATAGAAACCTTTTCCAGTGAAGGGCCAGACACTAAATATCTATTCTTTCAAGTCTCTTGAAACTGTTCAACTTTCCCATTTGTGAGTCAGCTTCTATAGATAATATGTAAACTAATAATGTGGTTGCATTCCAAAAAAACCTTTATTTGTGGACATTGAAATTAGAATTTTATATAATTCCCTTTTATTAAAAAATAATATTCTGCTTTTAATTTTTTTAACCATTAAGAAAATTAAAAAGCATTCTTAACTCCTGGACTGTACAAAAACAGGTGCTGGCAGATTTGGCTTAGAGGCCATAGCTTTCCTTACTTAGAACATTAGGCTTTAGGGTTAACAAGTATGGTTGTTCAAAGGTGAAAAGTTATATACCAGGATGTATGTGTATCGTCAATTCATCTTCTGTAAATGGTCTGCTAGCCATTTCAATGTGGCTTTTTTCTTGGCTATGCTGTGTTGATAAATGTTAGCAATCATGAATTTAGGAGCGGCTAAATTCCCTTACTCGGTGTTTTGTTGGTTGGTTTTGTTTTGCCTAAAAGTAAACTCACATACTGCCTTAATTTTTTTCTGTCCATTCCATGTATGTCTGATAATCACCCTGTTTTTGGCTGCTGTGTTGGAAATATTTTCTCAATGGATGCTGATGGCCTTTTTGTCCTAAATTAAATGTGTGTGTGTATGTCTGTGTGTGTGTGTGTTTCCTGTGCCCTAGAACTCTCTATGCATTTGACACTGCTGATCTCTCATTTGAAGGGGCAGAGATTTCTAGAGGCTCTGGAACTAGACACACTGGTTTAGCCTTGACTTGGTGATGCATTTAGTTGTGTTACCCTGAGCAAGCTGCTTAGCCTTCCTTAGCCCAAAATACCTCATCTGTCCAGTGAGGGTGAAAGTAGAGCCTGTGTCACAGGGTTGTTTTGAGTCCCTGAGATAATGCACTTAGTCTTTAGGGTAATATACTTATAGTACTTTGTTCCTGGTGCATACATGGAATCATGCAATAAATACTTAGCTATTACAATCATTGTCATTAAATATGTCTCTAGCCCTGGCCTCTGATACCAACATAGTTCTTTACTGCTTCCTCCATTTTTTAAAATAAAATTCAATCACTACCTCCACTGGGCGCGCTTCCCTTGAACGTGTGGGTGTGGGTCTGAATGCTTGATCTGTGTCCTTCTGAGTCTCTCCCTGCCCCATCGCTAACCCTACACAGGGGACTGGCCTTCCCCTGAGCCCTGCCCTCCTCCCTGCCCGGAGCCCCAGGATTCTGAGGCCGCTCCTGTCGCATCAGCCTGGGGCCTTTGAGGTCCAGGGGGCTGGGCCACACAAAGGGGAGCGTCTGCGTGCTGGGCTGCTAGCGGCCTGGGCAGTGGGCACCAGGGGGGTCAGACGGGATGCCCGACCCCCAGGAGCCGTTCATTGTTGCAGCTTCATCTCCCCCTCCCCT